GGACCTCAAGCTGCTTGCCACAGCCTCCATACTTGAGAGACCATGTTCAGTCACATAAGGTCCACTTCATTTCCTTTTATTGGAGCTCAGGTAGTTTGGCTGTTACTATGAGGTGAAACCAAGCAATGGAGAAGCCAACCAAACATAAACAAAGTAGCCGTCATAGTATTCACTTAAACCCTTTGCTGTCAGCTCAGGGAATCTCAGGGAAAGGCTGTCAGCTTGAGCATCCCTCCTCACTTCTTTATATCAAGTTTAAGGGAAGTGAGATGCTCAGTCTGAAGTTCCATTCAGTTGTCAACCAAAGGGGAGCAGTGTCAAGCCTTACAAGGAGCCAGGGTGAGGAGCTTGAGTGACAACTCGGGATGCAAAGGACCCCACTAAGCTCTCAGCACTGGGTGGCTCCTGATAGGGAGGAGGACTCCCCTCCAGTTCCTTTTCAAGGGTCCCAGGGAGTGGCAGGAGGGAGGATTCCCAGGCTCTGCCCAGAGTGGACATGATAATACTGAAAATAAACCAAGAGGACCCACACATTCCAGATCCAAGGGTGTCACACTGGCATTACCTACTGTCACCTGAGTAATTTCCATGTAGGGCTGGTATGATGTAGCATGCAACTCACTCTAAAGTCTCTCTGGTGGTTCTGTAGGATTCTTAAGGCACAAGAGAACAGGAGCCTAGTTGGATCCTAGAGTAGTGCCAGTAGAGGAAGCCTGCAGAGGCAGCCTTCAATAAAACCAAGGCGGAAGCTACCTGTTGAAGGTGCTCACATAACTCTTTCTCCATCCCTCAGGTGCCCAAAGCAGCTGTCCATTGGCTCACTACTGTCTGCTGTCCTGAACAACAGCCATCATGCCTCGTGGTCATAAGAGCAAGCTCCGTGCTCGGGAGAAACGCCGCCAAAACAAAACTGAGAACCAAGATGTTAAGAGTGCTCAGGCCCCTGCAGGAGAGGAAGGAGAGGCCGCTTGCTCCTCCTCTTCCATTTTGGGGGAAGGTCCCTCAACCTCCACTGGTGCTGGCACTCTCCAGGCACCTCAGGGTGCCCCAGCCACCACCAGTGCCGCTGCAGGTGCTTCCTGTGAAAGATCTGCTATAAAAGCTAAATGCCATGTTAGGAAAAGTAAAAATTTCTCCCAGATCTCAACTTCCACTGAGATCGATGGCCTAGATCTTATAAGTAAGAAGGCGACTCTGTTGGTAGAGTACCTGCTGTATCAATATAAAGTGAATGAGCCCATTAAAAAGGGAGACATGCTGAAGATCATCCACAAATGGTACAGAAAGGACTTCCCTGAGATCCTCAAGAAAGTCTCTGAGCACATGGATATGGTCTATGGCCTAGAATTGAAAGAAGTCAAGCCCAACAGTAACTACTACACTCTTGTGGATAGTCAAGATGACACCAGCAACGGAAATCTGGGCAGCGGCTTCAGATTTCCTAACAAAGGGATCCTGATGCCTCTCCTGGCTGTGATCTTCTTGAATGGCAACCGCACCCCTGAGGAGGAGATCTGGAAATTCCTGAATATGATGAGTGTCTATGATGGAAAGAGTCACTTCATTTTTGGGGAGCCCAGGAAGCTTATCACCCAAGATTTGGTGCAGGAAAAATACCTGGTGTACCAGCCGGTGCCCAACAGTCATCCTCCACGCTATGAGTTTCTATGGGGTCCAAGAGCCTATGCTGAAACCACCAAGATGAAAGTCCTCGAGTTTTTGGCCAAGCTTAATGATACCATGCCCAGTGCCTTCATAACCCAATATGAAGAAGCTTTGAAAGATGAGGAAGAGAGGGCCCATGCTGCACTCCAGGCTGCCGCTCCTTCCAAAGCCAGTAGGTGCTCCAGGGACACGTCCAAGCGCTACCCACAGCCCGAGTGAACTCTAAGTGGGGTCTTCAGTTTTTGGATGGAAAGGCCTGTTAAGCAGTTTCCTAATGTGCAAAATATATTGTTGGCTTACCTTTGTGTTTGTTGTTTTTATTTTTGCATTTTAAGTGGTGTTCTTTTAGACAGAATGTTTATTTAGATCCAGCATATTAGTATATAAGTCTATGAATAACATAGATTGCAAATTTATTACTATTTTACAGTTTTTGAAATAGAAATTGAAAATCCTTCAAGCCTTTTTGTGATCCAGAACAGGATAACATGGCTTTAGGATAGGAATATATTTTGATATGTGCAAGAACTTTACACTAAAATAGGTGGGAACAATAGGTGGGAACAATAGATAGATAGATAGATAGATAGAAGTATAAAATGAAAATTGGACACTTCTGTTTTAATTTTTTGTTCAATTATACTTGACAACAATATTATATTAGTCTCAGATGTTACAACATAGTGATTAGACATTTATATAACCATGTGCCCACTCCCATAAGTCGAATACCCATCTGAACCATAAGTAGTTATTACAATGTAATTGACTATGTTTCCTATCCTGTATTCAGCATTACCTGTTTCAGCCAAGACATGGAAGCAAACTAAGTGTCCATCTGTCAACCAAGGAATAAAGAAAATGTGGTTTATCTATGAAACAAGTCACTTCTTATTTTCCTTACTACATTTAGTGCTGTGTTTTGTAAATGTCTACGATACATAACCTGGATTTGCTTGTGTTTTTCAAGGTTTGAGAATATAAATCTTAGTGAATCAGACCTCTTCATTCATGGCTTTTATTTTACACAATCATTGAGCATCAGCTCTTTGGAAGTCTTCATGCTCACATGGGGGAATGTTTAGGCAAAGAAGACCCTGCCCCTGCCCATGCAATTATAGATTGTAGGAGTAGTTATCACTATAAAAGAGGGTGAGATACTCGCCAGTTCATAAGGAACAACTTAATAGGAGGGTAAAGAACAGGTGGAGGTCGCATATTACATAAATTTCATTGCTAAGCAGAATTTAGTCCTGCGGCCCCACCCCCAGCCGGCCCGGCCCCCAATCGCCCGCTCCACTCCTATCAGGGGCAGGGCTGGCCAACCTCCCACATCCCCTCACCCCTGCCACCGGGCCTGCTGGGCTCCCATTGGGGCAGGTTGACCAAACCCCACCCATGCATGAATTGGTGCACAAGGTCTCGAGTATTAGATAAATTTAATTGCTAAGCAGAATTTAATCCCATTGGACAGTTAGTGAGTGGTGATCCAAGGCCACATCTGGTTTCTTCTCTCAACCCAAGTGAGGTCTGAGATGGAAGCTTCACATTGTGGTAGGAAATGCCTGTTGACCAGTATTCCTGATATATACAAATAACTTGACCTATTTTTGAGGTAATTTTCAAGTGGTGGTATTTCAACATAAAGTTTATTTAGATTCAGAATATAAGTGTAGGAATGGCATGGATCACACACTTAATTGTTGTTTATCAGGTTCAGGAATAAGTATTTTGTTTCTTGAAATACACATTGAAAATTCTTAAATCACTTTTGTGATGCTCAACAAGACTGCATGTCATTAGAATGGGGATACATTTGGTAATGGGAAAAGAAAACCCATACTAAAATAGGTGGGATCAGAACATAGAGAGGAGGAAAAAGTTATGGGTTTGCCTTATTCCATTCGGTCTCTCTTTTCCTAAATTTAAAAGTTATATACCTGATTATCCTTAGATTTTTTCAACAGTGGATGAGTTTTAGAGAATATAAATTAGTGCAGCCACTATGGAGGGCAGTATAAAATTTCAAAATATTAAAAATAAAATGACAGTATTATTAGCAATTCCACTACTGGGTAATTATCTAAAGAAAATAAAACCACTAACCTGAAGAAAGGCATTATGCTAAATTAAGTTAGTGGCCATTTTCAAGCAGTGGTCTTGCCACAAAAAGTTTTCAACACATGGAGAAAGATAAATGCTGTATGGTATGACATGT